AAGAGGGGTCTTTACCCAATCAGATACCCAAGTTTCACTCCCAGAGCCCCAGAGACCTTGGCTCCAAGCATCAACCTAGCTAGGCTCCCAGGGTCCATTGCCAGGGGGCGGTAGGTCTGGGGTAGCATGTGTGCTCTAGCTGAGTCCAAGCCCCCACTGCACCGATTCTCTCCAGGTCAGCCTCAAAGGGATAGTAACGTGGCTTGTGTATGAAATGCCCACAAGGAGCCAGCTAGACCTTCAATAAGTGGGCCCAATGGGCTAGCCCCTCAGGGTTACATTTTACAGCAGCTTCTGGGAGGGTCTGGGTCATCATCCCACCCACCCTACCGCTACCACGCCTTTTCTGGAGTTAGAGAAATGGTGAATGACTGGAGCATCTTTCCCCTTTGTGAGGCTTTAGGCCTCTCATGTGTCAGGGAATGTACAGGAGCCCAGTGCCAATGTCATGAGAACAAGCCCTGGGGTGCCTCATTGTTGGTTTGCACTGACCAGCCTTGTTCCAGAATTCAAATGTTGTAGCTAAGGCCCGTGTCCTCCAGCACATGGTCCCTATTAGCTGACAGTAACATGCCAAGGCTGTTGAATCCAGGGAGCAAGGACAGTGGAGACTCACCCACAGATGCCTGCCTGACCAGCAAGTCCGGAGGCATCATTCCTGGAGAGGAGCAACAGTGTGAGATCACACACAGACTGACACTCTACCAGCTCAGTGGGGCCTGGAGATGTGGCTGAGCTCCGGGGCAGAAATGGGGTTTTTCAGCCTCCCCTCACTTGGGAGAGTATATAAAGTTGGCTGTTTCCAGCTTCAGTTGTTCCTGTGATGCCCTCAGAATCAAGCCCGGGTGGTGGCATGGGCTTTGTCCTAGCAGTGGTCCTCAGCTCACTCTTAAGTACCAGCTGGGTTCACCCTCTGAGGAAGGGCAAGTATCCTGTGGCTTCTTATTCTAACTGAGAGTCTATCTAATGGAGAAAAATACAACAATAAAGATTTTTCATAGTTTGGTGGGTGAGCTGAGCTGGTTTCTCTCTCAAAGCTGGCATTGCTGGGGCCCTTCCCAGGAGACATGAGGAAGAGGGCAGTGAACATGAGGTTTGGTAATTGTTTATGGCCTGCCCTGGGGCTGTAGCTCAGTTAGTGGTGCTGAGCATGCCTGAAGCCCTGGGTCTGGGCCTCAGCATCACATAAACCAATTGTAGTGACACCCCTGTAGTCCCAGTGATCATGAGGCAGGAGGATTGAAGTGGGTTCTGGATCATCCTGGGCTGCAATGATACTCTATCTCAGAAAGGAAGTCAGGAGTTCACAGTCATCTTTGGCTATGTAGTTAGTTCCAGGCCAGTCTGAACTACACAAGACCTTTCCTCAGAAGGAGAGAGGAGTGTGGTGGATCTCTGTTTGAGGCCAGCCTGGTCTATAAAGACTGTTTAAAGCCAGCCAAAGCACACAGTAAAACCCGGTATCAGAAAACGGGATGGGGGGAGGGTCCTGGAGCTGTAGCTCAATTGATGCTGTGTTTGTCTAGCACAGTATCAGACCCCTGGGTTTGATTCCCATGCAGCAGCATATAAGAGGGTGTGACGGCACACACTCATAATCCCAGCACCCAGGAGGTCAAGGTCATCCTAGACCCAGCAGGAAGTTTGAGGCCAAGCTGGGCTACATGAGACTCTGCTCTGGCTCAGGAAACGACAGCTTGGGTTTGGCCTGGATCTGTGTTTCAAAGGGTTCCCACATTAGTCTAACTCATGGCCCTCAGGAAGAGGAGCCCATCTGTCCCACTGAGGCAGTGGTCCTCTGGCGCCTCCCCATTTCATGCTGACTCTGGGTAGCACATCAGAGTTCCCATGTAGACAACCAACATCTGTTGTGATGTCTGGACAGAATCTCCTCCCATCACCCCAGCAGAATGTGGAAGATGAAAGAAGAGCCTGGGGTGGTCCATGCTGGCCTCAAAATCACTATGTAGCTGGAGATGATCCTGAACTCCTGACCCTTCTGCCTCCACTTTCCAAATACTGGGATTTCAAGATGTATGCCACCACCCTTGATGAAAATTTACTGTTTAGTCATCTGTCCAGATTTGGAAGCTTGTTTTACCTTGGAAGCACTTCCTGGAAGCTTTGATCTCTATCTTCCATCGTCCCTTTCGGTCCTGACCCCACACGATTTACATGCCTCGTTGCTTACACTTCCTTTTCAAAGCCTTTGCTTGAAGGGCTGGAGAGAAGACATGGAGGTTGACATCACTTTCTCCTCCAGAGACCCAAACAGTTCGCAGCATCCACACCAAACAGCGTACTGCTGGCACCTCCAGCTCCAGGGGGCCCAGGAGACACACACACACAAACACACACACACACACACAGAATCTAAAATTTCTCTGGACTCTCCATGCTGTTTGTTTTGGTTTGGTTTTACACAGCAGCTCACTTTATAGCTCTGGCTAGTCTGAACTCGATATGTAGACCACACTGGACTCAAACAGAGATCCCCCTGCCTCTGCCTCCTGAGTGCTGGAATTAATTGTATGTGTTACCACATCCGGTGCTTCAGGGTTTTTAGACAACATTGAATCTTGGTGTTGAGCTGAGACCATGTATTCGCAGCCACTCAGGAGGCTAAAGCAGGAAAATCACTGAAGCCCAAGAGTTCAAGGCAAAATAACAGTTACCTCAAAACAAAAACCTACCTTCTCTGTGTAACAGAATTGACTGTCCTGGAACTCACTCTGTATTGTAGACCTCCAACTCACTGAGCTCCCTCTGCCTTTGCCTCCCAAGTGCTGGTTCTAAAGGTGTGTGCCACCACTGCCCGGTTCAAAGACATATTTGGAGTCCCATAGCCTATGTTATGGCCAGACTCATCTCAGGAAAATACTTGTACAGTGTTTGATTGATTACCTGCTAGATCTGGGCCTCACCTTCCCATAATCGAGCCCCTTCCCTCTGGAAGTGACTTGTGGTTGTCCTAACTTCAACTTGGTCTGTCCTTCCCTGGAATTCCAGAAAGGAGTTTGTCATCATAGCAAAAGAGACAGATAAGCCCAGTTAACCAAACTTACATAAGATATTCACGGGCTCAGGCATAAAAAGAAAGAAAGATGTGTCTAGAATCTACCCTCTCCCTGCGGTTCTAAGGCCCAGGGCAAACCTGGTAGTTTATTTAGTTAATCACCGAGGGAGGGGCTGACTGGCCCTGGTCCAGTCTCTAGCAGGGCTTGGGTGGAGCTGGGAGTCATTTACCTTGAGCTGTCGAACACACTGAGTCTGTAAAAGGAAGTAGGTCACTTAAAATGAGCCTGGACACTCAGCAGATGAAGCAAAAGGGTCTCCAGGGCCCCTGGCCCCACACAGCAGGACCCTCACGTCTGCCTTCCTGGTCGCAGATGCTTGCAGCTGATAATGAGCTTAGAGGGCATGATTGGGATAAAGATGCAATGGGGTGTGCAGACAGCCTGGGGGGTGCCTAGGGAGCTGGAGGGCAAGTGTTTCCATTCCCAGGGCAGGAGACAGTTGAGAATGGAGTGTTTCTCTGTCCCAGTAGGTGAGTAGCAGCTGTGAGTATCCAGGCTACTCTCAACCTTAAACAGGATCCTTTGTCTCCGAAAAGTCCTTCCCTTCTGCAGCACCTGGTCCAGTTGATGGAGGCAGGAGCCAACTTCCTGAAGGGGTAGCTCTGGACCCCAGGGACCTCAGCTCCACCCTACACCCCCACCAGTCCTATGAGCAGGCCTCCTGCACCTTCCCCACAATGCGAACCAGGCTCAAACTAACCATGGGAGCCCCATTTAGAAGCCATTTATTCCCTATGCTTCCCTTTGAAATATTTTGACATTCTGGGAGACAGCTGGGTGGTTGAGAAGTGAAATCAATGAAATAAATGCTTTATTAAAAAAATAAAAATAAAAGCTGGGTGGTGGTGGCACATGCCTTTAATCCCTGTACTTGGGAGGCAGAGACAGGTGGATCTCTTGAGTTCAAGGCCAGCCAATTCTACAGAGTGAGTTCCAGGACAGCCAGGGCTGCACAGAGAAACCTGTCAAGAAAAAAACAAACAAACACCAGGGTTTCCTGTAGCCCATGCTGGCCTCACAATATGCATCCAAGGATGCCCTTGAATTCCTGATCCTCCTGCCTCAACTTCCTGAGAATTGGGATTACAAGTATGGGTCGAGTTCATACAGCACTAGGTATAAAACCACAGTGTTAAACATGCTAGGTAAGCACTTTGCCAATTAAGCTACATTCTCAGCCCTCACAAGTGTCTTTTAATGTCAGCTAGGGTCTTGTCTGAACGCTTTGCAGACAGCCACTGGTACCCATCCTTCTGGGCAGGGAAGTCAGGAGAGCTATCAACTCACTGCGAGCCGCACCCTTTCTGCCTCTGCCTGGACTCTTCCTAAGGCTCTGGGGAAGGAACTTCTGTTTACACACATGTGGGAGCCCCACCCACCCTGCACAGCCCTAGGAG